GTGGTGCCAGGTATCGAACTCTGGTCCTTGCGCTTGTGAGGCAGGCATTGGAACCACTGAGCTAAATCCCTGGCCCTTTTTTGTAGTTTTAATATGTGTTGTTTTTTCTTTTGGAGAAGACAGAAATATTTTATGTTTTCACACCTTTTATTTTCTTTCTTTCTTTCTTATTTAGGTACTAGGAATTGAACTCAGGGCCTTTACACTGAGTTATATCTCCACATCTTGCTAAGATATTAAATTGCTTAAGATTGGCTCAGACTTGTGAACCTCCTACCTCAGCCTGCAAGAGTGCTGAGATTGCAAGTCTGCACCTCCACTCCTACCTTTCATGCTTTTTCGAGCCATTTGTTCTTTCTTTTCTGTGGGTTGTCTGGTTGTATCTTGTTTTTTTATTTTTAAATAGGATATTTGCTCTTTTGTATTGCTTTGTAGGAGCTGCTTATGTAGTATGGAATTAGCTCTTTGTCTCTGATGTTACAAGTGTTTGAATTCTCTAGAAAGCAGTTAGTCTCCTGATAGTATAACGGCACAATCATCTTGGGTCAGATATACTGAAAATTACTCACTTAAGAAGCCCAGAAAATAATGAATGTGGGCTTACTTGCCAGCTGAAATTGTTGACCTCAGAATTGTACCATAAAGTAGATACACTATCAGAGGCCTGTTTTTAATGTTTACCCATAATTTTTATTTGTTGTCACCATTTCTCTTTATATTCTTGCCTGTTGCCTGACTTCTAAATGTCTTCCTTTCTAGGGCTGGGGATTTAGCTCAGTGGTTCCGGCACCTGCCTCACAAGCACAAGGACCTGAGTTCAATCCCTGGTATCAAAAAAAAAAAAAAAAAAAGTCTTCCTTTCTAGTCCCTCCTGTTCACATCTCTTGGAAAAAGAAAAAAAAATTATCAGTGCAAATATACCTTTTAAAGTAGTACTTTTTTACTAGTCAAGTGTCAAAACACTATAAATGGCATTAAAAAACAGTTGTCATCTATTCTATTTATACAAGGGAGAAAGATAAAATCTTTCTGGGGCTGGGGAGGTACTCAGTGTAGAGTGGTTAACTGACATGCACAAGGCCCTGGCTTCAGTCTCCAGCACCAGAAGAAAAAGTCTGCATACTTAACGTGTTCCCACTGGCTTGAACTGTCAGTGGTACGTGCATGTCTGTCAGGTGGATTGTACCGCTCAGTGACACAGCAGTGGTTCAGAGCCCCTGGCGGTGAGGTATATGAATCACGACCCAGTCTTGAATGTGTTAAAACATCTTTTAGGATGAATGAGAGGGCCAGAATGTAACAGAAGACCCTAAACCTGAGAACACCTTTAGTACCTTTGTAAGGTAGCTCATTGTGAAAATTTATATCTTTCTTATTTTATAACAAGTTTATTCTCTCTAGCATCTTTTCTTTCTCAAGAGTTGGAGCATTTTGTAGACAGCCTGGAAAAAGATGGAACTCTACAAAAATGTTTTGAAGCTTCAAAAGAGTAAGAGCAGTTTTCCTGTTGTAAATTATAGGTGAATTGAGACTTTTCATTATAATTAGTTGTTCACTTGTTCACCAAATATTTACCTAGAATTTTCTTCTGTACCAGGCTCTTTTAGATGTTGGGAATATAGTGATAAATAAGTCAAACAATGTTGCTGTCATCATACACTGTAATAGAGGAGACAAAATTCAATTTCAGATAGTGATAATATAGGAAGTCAACAAATATAGTGATTTGAGAGTGTAGGTACTTTTAGCAAGAATGTTCAGAAATCTCTCATGATTTGTCCTTTGGTCTCAGACCTGTAAGACCTGAATGGTGAAAAGGAACCAGCTATGGAATAGTGAGGGGGGGGGGAATAATTGAGATCTTTGCCAACCATGCATGTTTTTGGCTCTTGGCAAGCAAGAATATTAGCAGAAATTTAAAATCTCATCCCTAGATTGGTGGGTCTTCAGAAATGATGCTCTCCATACCTCCCTAGTTTTGCCGTATAACAAAGCATGTACTTGAGTTTACATTATCAATTTTAAGTCTGGACTTCATGAAGGTTTACTTTCCTATAGTTCATTAGGATTATCATTTCTAATGAGAAAGTGAAACATTTTAGATTAATTAACATAGCATCTCTTTTAATATAATGTATTTAAGGACAGCTTGCTGCATCTCACAGATGGACAGATGGTGGAAGCTGTGTCACAGGAGTTGGCAAAAAAAAACCAGGAATGATGGCACTACTGATTTGTCTTTGCTGGATACAGTACTAAGTACATTTGTAATAGTTTGACTTTTTTTTTGAAACAGAGTCTTGATTTTGACTCTTTTTTTTTTTGGAAACAGGGTCTTGCCATGTAGCCCAGGCTGGCCTCGAACTTGCAGCAGTTCTGCCTTTCTCTCTAGTGCTAGGATTATAGGTGTGCACCATACCTGGCAGTATTTGATTCTTTTCCGTTACAGTTAATCACCCAACTGAGCTGAGCCATTAAATAACAGTAGTAATCAAAGTAAGTGAACTGGACAGGATCAAAGACAGCATGACCTTAAGTGCCAGGTTAACAAGTTTTAGCTTTTTGTGAGGTCAGGTAGGGCTCAAGATTGATCTTAGGGTCACTCTACTACTGGACTACTTCCCTGCTCCCTCCTCCTTTTTTTTGAGACAAGATCTCACTAAATTGCTCAGGCAGGACTTGAACTTTCATCCTCCTATCTTTGCCTTAAGTGCTGGGTTTATAGATGTGATCTACCATCTCCAAATAAATTTTGGCTTTTCTTCTTTATGCTGGAATTGGACTTAGAGTCTTTACAATGAGCTACATCCCCAGCCCTTTTTATTTTTTATTTTGAGACAGGGTCTTACTAGGTTGCTGAATAGCCCAGGCTGGTCTCAAACTTGTGCTCCCTCCTGACTCTTATACCAGAGTGCTAGGATTACAGGTATATGCTACCAATGCCTGGCCATTCACAGACATTTTAAGCAAGGGAAAAAAATTAAATGTTAATTTGGCCATGATATGAATTAGAATTGATGAGAGAAATAGAATGAAAGCCACTTAGAGCTGGATGTGGACCACATGGCTATAATGTCCACACTTGGTAGGTTGAGGCATGAGTATCACTGCAAGTTCAAGGCCAGCCTGGACTACATAGTAAGCCTTTTTTGGGGGCGTTTTTTTGAGACAGGGTCTCACTATGTAGTTGAGACTGATCTGGAACTCACTATAGACTACATAGTTTAAGACCAGCCTGAACTACATAGCAAGACCCTTTCTCCAAAAAAACCCAATAAAAATAAAAAATAAAAATGAGAACTGCTTAGCTACTACTAGTGAAAAAGTAAGATAGAGTCCAAGAATAAATATTGAAAGAAAAAAATTATCATGTTTTATTACCTGTAAAATTATGTAGGAAATTATATTAATAGGAAACATTTCTTGAAAAATTCATATTATTTTCATAATCCTATCCTATCTATATTCCAGAAAAGAATTAGATTTGAATCTGGAAGCATCAGTGGCTGAGATGAAGGAATATATAACAAAGTAAGTGAAAATGAGTGAACCTTTGTTGGAAAATTTAAATTCACTCTCCATCTGGAGAAAATAAAACCTAGGATAAATTAATAGTACACATGGTATTCTGTGCTAGTGAATCAACACTGGAATTTAGAAGACTGCATATTGGGATGATTATAGGTTCTGTGATAGCTAATTTTGTAGAATGGAGTCCAGGGAGGGAGGAAGAATGTTACTTTGATTTTAAGAAATCGTGTTTTGATTAAATTAATGGCCTCTGAACCAGTAAAGATTTGTAATCCTTTAGTGATCTCTTTTTTCACATTTTATAACCAGATTATGTACCTAATGTACTTATTGTTGCCCTAAATGGTTCAGAGTGATGTGATCAAAAGTTAACTGAATCTGGGCATAGTGGTGAATGCCTGTAGTCTCAGCACTTGGGAGGGTGAGGCAGGAAAATTGCTGTGAGTTCATGGCCAGCCTGGACTACATGGCAATACCCTGTCTCGACCCTCCCTCACCCTCAAAAATGTTAACTGAATTTTTCTTTGGATTCTGTAGGTTTTCTTCAGAACGTCAGACTTGGGATCAGCTCTTGCTGTGCTACCAGAAGGATGCACTACCAGAAGAGACATCCAGGTTAGATCTGTGAGCTGGAAATAAAAAGCTATCTTTTTTTAACCTTGTGGAATTTGATTCGAGTTTATTTCAGTTCTCGTTAGCATAAATTGAGTGATGAATCCTTATAATACAGTCAATTTATTAAGACTCTTTGTGTATTAGTACTCTGACCATAAATGGAGAATGAGTGAGAAGTAAGGGAGAGTTGCTGTGACTGTTTTCAGAGTTAGGACAGAATTGCCTCTGTTCTATGTCTTTGGTTGCTATTTCACAGCCTCAGGGAGACAGGTACATTTCTGCCTTACACTTGGCCATTTGGGGCTGGACCAAGAATAGGTAAGAGATTTAGGGAGTACATGACCTTTTTTTGTTTTGTTTTGTTTTGTTATTTTGAGACAATCTCATTATGTGATTCCAGCAGGCCTTGAACTCTTGGCAGTCCAAACACTGGGATTACAGGTATGTGCTACCATGCCCAGCAGAACATGACTTTTAAGCTGCAGGGATGAGAAGGACCCTGGCCATGAACTTCATGGAGTCACAAATACAGAGAAGAGAGGGTAGGGGAAGGTATAAATAAAAAAGGATTTTTTTTTGTTTACTTTCTTGTCCCCCATACTAGGGAGTGAACCTAGGGCCTCATACATACAAGGCAAGGAGGCAGGTGCCTTACCACTAAGCTATATCCCCAGTCTCTTTTATTTTCTGTCAGTCATCTCTAAGTTGCCTAGGCTGACTTCCAACTTAAAATCATCCTGCATTAGCCTCTCAAGTACCTGGAACTGCAAGTGTGTGCCACTATAATCAGCTGAGAGAGGATCATTGTCTTGATCTTGGAAGCAGAAGAAAGTCGGAAAAGTGCTAGAGTTTAGTTTAGTGATCATTTGAGTTAGTAGTTTTAAGCTCCCGCCCCCATCAGAATCTTGAACCCAACTACAAAATGTTAGCCAAAACCTTAATTGCAAAAAGTGGCCTCTCATAGAAGGGGGCTTTAAGTAACATGATCTGAAAACTTCCCCACTCCAAGGAGTGATGGATGGGTATCATTTACTCACTTCTTACCATATTTACGGAGATTGATAATGTATAAGATGGCAGCTTAAAGCTGGGCATAGTGGCTCACTCCTATAGTCCCCAGTTACTGAGGAGGCTGTGACAAGAACTGGAAGTTTGGGCTGGGGATTTAGCTCAGTGGTTCTGCTACCTGCCTTGCAAGTGCAAGGACCCACGTTCGATCCCCAGTACCAAAAAAAAAAAAAAAAAGAAAGAACTGGAAGTTTGACACCAATCTGTAATTTAGTATAACTGTGCCTCAAAATTTAAGAAGCCTGGGGATGTAGCTCAGTATAGAGTGCTTGTCTAGTGTGCACAAAGAGTTTCTAGTACTGTACATACACACACAAAATGATGACAGCTTGAGAAGAAAAACTTTGTGGCAAAAGCCTATAGATTAAGAAAAAGCTTGAAGCTGACTATCTCTGTTCAGATCCTGGCTTCCTACTCCAGAGTTTTGTGACCTTGGGCAAATCCCACTTAATCTCTTGGGAGTATAAGGTTCTTCTTTGAAAATAGGGATGATGGTACTACCTAGTTTATTGGGTCATTCTGAGTTTGATGTTAAATGGACAGTGGCCAACTGCAACTTTTGGCACCTAAGAAACTTAACAAATTATAGTAGTTACAAAAAGGTTGTCATTTTTCATTAACTCTCCATATCTGTTTATTTATTTATTTTGCAGTATTAGGGACTGAAATCGGGATGTTGCCCTTGCAAGGCAGGCGTGGCACCACTGAGCTAAATCCACAGCCTTCCATATCAATTGTGTGTGTGTGTGTGTGTGTGTGTGTGTGTGTGTGTGTGTGTGTGTTATTGGGGATTGAACTCTGGACCTTGTGCTTTCAAGCCAGATGGCAAACCCCTGAGCTAAATTCCTGGCTCCCATATCAATTTTTGTAGGTGATTGAAGTAGATTAGCATTTATTTTGGTAAATGATCATAGACAGTGACTTGGATGGAAAGCTTTGGCTTCACTCTATCCCAGGTAAAGTCCTATGTGTATGTGGACCATTGCTGTTAAGTAGAGTTAACTGAGTTAAAGCTTCTAGCATTTCTCAGTGTAGTGGTATAAAAAACATTAATATTAGGTGGGCACAGGGCTAGGGCACAGGGCTCAGTGGCACTGCTCCTGCCTCAAAAGTGCAAGGTTCCAGGGTTAAGGGAAAAGAATGAGAACTAAGACCTGTCATGTGAAGGTACAAGATCCCAGTGATGAATGTAACTGTACTATATATCTAAAATGTACCAATAAACTCAATGAGAAAAAAAAATGATCCCCGGTACCAAAAAAAATATTAGGTGGGCACAGTGTCACGTGACTGTAATCCTAGCATTCTGGGAGGCTAAGGAAGGAGTATTGCAAGGTTGAACCCAGCCTGGGCAATTTAGCAAGACCAGGGTTTAAAATAAAAAATATTAAAATGGGCTGGGGATATAATTCAGTGGGAAGGCCCTAAGTTCCAGCCCTCAAACCACAAAAAATAATAATAATACTCAGTCATTATTTCAGATCCTCCAGTTAAGAGAGCCTATACCAGGAACTGGGGGTGAGGCTCACTAGTGGAGCACTTACCTAGCATGTGCAAAGCCCTAGGTTCAGTCCTCAGTGCACTAAAGGGGCCGAGAGGGCAGCTATACCTAGAATAGGGTAGAAGGATATTGATTCAGCTTTATAAATTTTTTTCAGAGGTAATCTTTGATATCTTTTCCATAAAATGTTTATAAAATTCTTTGAAAGCTCTTTTTTGTTTGGTTTTTAGAGGGTCAACAGAAACCGAAATTACTGAAGTCAAAATGGATCCAACATCGTATCTTAGATCTTCTCAGAGTGAAGCTCTTTACACAAAGCCTGACTACCAAAAAATATTACAGAACCAGAACAGGGTCTTTGATTGTATGGAGTTGGTGGTAAGTTGGCTCAACTTGATTTGCTTAAGCTATCCAGGTTTGCTATCTTTTCATTTGTGTTCGTTTTCCATCTCTGATAAAATACCTGAAATAACCGACTTAGAAGAAGAAAACATTTATATTGGCTCAGTTTTAGAGGTTTGCTTTGGACCTGTTTCTTTGATTTTGTGCATGAGCAGTAAGTACCCTCATTCAGCTCCCTCCCACTAGGTTCCCCTCATGGCAGTACCCAAACAGAACTAGAACACATGGCATCCTGTTGGTAGGGGTCCTGGAGGTCAGCCTCCTGGGACATAGAGCTGGCTGGAGAATAGTGGAGTGTGGCTCAGGAGTTGCCAATAGAATGTCTGGCATAAGCATTCCAGACTGAAAGGACAGGAGGCCCATTGCTCTACTCTGCCATCGGGAAGGTGCCTACTTAAAGGATTTGGGGAACTTTGGGGAAACCATGGAACCTGAAGCTCAAGGCTGTCTTTTGAATGCAGATGGATGAGCTGCAAGGATCAGTGAAGCAGCTACACGCCTTTATGGATGAAAGCACCCAGTGCCTCCAGAAGGTGTCAGTACAGCTTGGTAAGTGTGTCTCTTGCGACAGGGCTTGGGCTGTTTTATATCTGATACCTTTGGGTAGCATATGGTCCTGAGGGTAAGACTTATAGCAGATAATTTGTCTTTTGTTTTTGTTTTTGTTTTGTGTGTTTTTTTGGTTTCGGGGATCGAACTTAGGCCGTAGCACCACTGACCTAAATCCCAGGCCCATTATAGCAGATAATCTGTATTTCTCTCCCCAATAAGGAGTATGTTCACAGGAAATTTCTAGACATATATTCCAAAAGCACAAAGTGTGAGAATTAAATCCCCATGAACTCCGTTTTAGCAAATTCAAGACTTCAAAAATACCCATTATAGCAAAGTGTGGTGGCACATGCCTGTAATCCCAGCTTTTGGGAGGTTGAGGCAGGAGGATCACCGTGAGTTCAAGGCAGCCTGGACTATAGAGTGAGTTCAGGGCCAGCCTGACCTACAAAGCAAGACCCTGTCTCAAAAAACAAACAAAACAGGGCCAGGGATTTAGCCCAGTGGTTCTGCCACCTGCCTCACAAGCGCAAGGACCCAAGTTTGATCCCCAGTACCAAAAAAACAAAATAAAGCAAAACAACAACAAAAAAAACCCACTACAGCAGGGCATGATGGCATAAACCCATAATCTCAGCATTCAAGAGACTAAGGCAGGAGAGGGTCCATACAAGTTAAAGTATGGCATGGAGTACATAGCCAGATCCTGTCTCCTAGGAAAAAACCAAAAAGCCACCGTCTTTACCCTCTTAGATTTTTAAGAATCCACAAAGTAACACTGACATAACTCCTTTTTAGCCTTTCTTGACCTCCTCCCTAAATTACTTGCTACACACACCTTCATTTTCTTATTGCGCTATACTATAGCAGCTGGGTTTCCAGTCAGATTGCCATCTCCTGGAGGACAGAGATTTAATTTGTCGTTGTAATGCCTTTTGCCACCTGGCACAACACCCACACATTGTTTTCAGTATATTTTATGTGAATTCAATTGTAATTCGTTTTTTGCCTCCTTTCCTCTGCAGAGAAAAGAAGCATGCAACAATTAGATACTTCACCTGCTCGAAAACTGCTCAGACTTCATTTACAGAACCCGCCTACCACTTATTGCTCTGGATCTTATCAGTGACCTTACCCAGCTTTTCCAACACAAGATGCTCAAATGATAAAACTGGGAAGACTTCCCCAGCATGTGGCAACTGCATGGCTGTCTGAGCTGGGGAGTTCTGTCCTTAGCTTTTATTTTTATTTTATTTTATTTTTTCGTATCGGGGATCAAACTCAGGTCCTTGCACTTACATGGCAAGTGGCGGCACCACTGAGTTAGATCCTTGGCCCTGTGTCCTTAGCTTTTAAAGATAACTGCCGGATTGTAGAGCATTTCATCTTTTTTGGGTGATGGAATTTATGTATACAGAAGGATACTTTGCCCAGGAATGTACAAAATGTTTGAAATTTCCTTGTGAAATGGCCTTCAGAAGCAGTGGCCCATTCTTTTTAAATGTCCTTCATGGTCAGATATCTTCAGGTTTTGAAACAACCCAGAGTCATTTAGGACCAAGTTTAATGAAACATTGTAGAAGCCAGCCTGGGTTTTGGTCAAATAGGAATTAGAGTGATTTTCTAGTGTGGCTCTGATGGTGATTTTAGTTGAAGAATACTGAGCGTTGTTGGCATCATTGGGATATATGTATCACTTCACAGAATGCCCAGTTTGAAGAAAATACTACTCCTGTTTGTCTTGATGTCTATAGTGTACTTTAGCTTTTGAATTTTGAGCTGACACCCTAAATTTTAAATTAATGGCAAAAAGGGGCTAAGTATTAACTTTTATTGTCATTTTTATTTTTATTTTTTTGATGGTGCTGGGGGATTGAACCATCTTTGCACATGCTAGTTAAGTGCTTTGGTACTGAGCTGTTATCTCCAAGCCCCTAATTATCCTCTTTATTGTTAATAATCTGCATTATAAGATTACATATAATTAGATTTTTTTCCCTGTGTTTGTATTTTGAGTGTATAAAATTTTCTTTTTGTGGTGCTGAGAATTGAACACAGGGACCTCATAGAGTGCACTAGCACTCAGCCTCTAAAAACATTTAAAGGCAAGGAGGCTTTAGAAACTAAAATTCTTTGCTGAGATAAGCAGTAGTGTAAAGATATGCCTCACCTGGCTGGGGATTTAGCTGAGTGGTTCTGCCACCTACCTGCCTCACAAGCATAAGGACCTGAGTTCAATTGTCAGTACCAAAAAAAAAAAAAAAAAAAAAGATAAGCCTCGCAGCCTATTACCAATAAAACACCAACTAATCTTTTGTTAATGTTTTCTATATTCTCATTCTATTAATGGGACAAACTCATTTCATTTAATTTCCTGTTTGCCGTGCAAATATTTGCTGGCTGCATTTATCCCAAGATAACTTGTGAGTTACATTCCTAATCTTACCTCCAAGGTTTGCCATGAATTATCTCACTTTTATTATTTTTGCATTATTCTAGTATATTGCTAGTGTTTGGAAACAAAAGATCATTTTTATAGCATTTTGTTACAATGGTATTTACATTCACAAATAGAGTAATTCTCAATCACTGAAAATGTCAAATCCTAGAAAACTTTGGATTCCTCAAAGAGCAGGTTTATGTAAAGTTGAATGAACACTGGCAATGAGCTGCTTGCTGCACTTTTTCTAAATGGGAAATGAGTTAAACAACCAATCAAAATCTTAAGTATTAACCTTGGCCCAAGCACCTGTTGGTGAGAGGCGATACCTCTTTGCATTAAATTTTATCAATTCAGATCTTACTGAGTCACTACTGTCTGCCAGTCACAGTTCTGGGAACTGAAGAGAGCAATGAACAAAGGCACAGGATCTCCCGCATATGCTTACAGTCCACTGAGGACATGAGGAACACAAATAGAAAACTTATCTGCACAAGTGATGGTAATGCTGACTTGGGAAGGATAAAGAAATTGAACAAGTATTTCAGGTAAAAGCAGCATGTTCAAAGGCTTGATAGAGGGAGAATGGAGCATTCTAGAACACCGAAAAAGATAAATGAAGCAGAAATGCCAAGCATCAGTGAAGAGTAGCTTGAGACAAGGTAACTGAAAATAATTAGAAGGCAGAAGAGAGCAAGCCAGGCATCGGGGTGCATGCCTGTACTCCCACGGGAGACTGAGTCAAGAGGATTGTTGAATTAAGGGGCCAGCCTAGGCTACATGGACTTTGCTTCAAAAAAGGGTGGCTGTCCGTTTTGCACTATCAGATCTGGCCAAGACTTGTTTTTCAAGCCAGAGAGGTTCAATGAACTGATCTGCTGAAATCAACTGAAGGGGTTAAGCAAAGCAAAGCCCTATAGCAGGAACAGAAATCTCCCCAGATCAGCTCAAGTCAAAATAGGAGTCTGGCTTTCAGATCAAGATCACACTAAAGTTCTATAAGGGACAAAGTCATGACACCTCATTCATAGATGGGAAATAGCAAAGACAAATTCCTGAACCTGATGGCATTAGATGTGAGAATACTTTTTTCAGAATTTGCATTTTCCATAAAGGAGGAATATAAAGAATTTGTAGCCAGCTACAGACTATGGGAGCTTTATAGTAAGGCCTCTAAATTCTGACATTCATACTCCACTTAGGGTTGGCTCTGTAACTGCTTGATACGCAGGAAATCACACAAGTGGCCCTGTGCAGTTTTCCAGGCCCAGGCCTTAAGAAATGGGCAGCATCAGCCGAGTGTGGTGGTGCACGCCTGTAATCCCAGCACTCGGGAGGCTGAGGCAGGAGGATAGACTGGGCTCCACAGTTCCAAAGCAGTCTGAACTACATAGTGAGACTCTGTCTCAAAAAACCAACAAAAAAAAAAATTTGGGCAGCATCTATATCTTTATTGGCATGCATGCTTTTTTTGGCCAACTTTTAATTTTTATATTGGTGCCTGTTTGTGATACATAATGAATACATTTATGGTGGGGAGTTGATTCATATAATCAAAAAGGACATGTTAGTCCTTTTTATTTCCTCTTGGTCATATCTCCTCTCCTTCCACCATTAATTCCCTTCCCATCTGCAAAAGGTTTACCTCCTATCCTATTGTCTTTTAGTTTGCTCTTTATTAAGTTTTTTTGGTACTGGGGATCGAACTCAGGCATCAGAACCACTGAGCTAAATCCCCAGCTTTTTTCTTTTCTTATTTTTTGGTGGGGGGCGCTTTTGAGACAGGGTCTCGCTATGTAGTTCAGACTGCTCTGGAACTCACTGTGTAGCCCAGCTGGTTGAAGCGATCCTCCTGCCTCACACTCCCAAGTGCTGGGAGTGCTGGGATTACAGGCAAGCATCACCCTACACCTCCCCCCCACTTTTTTTTTTGTTTTTTT